GTTCTTTTACGTTCTAAATTAAATATTTAGTTTTACCGGAGGCTTGTTGAGATTGAGGAGCATTCGCTAGATGAGCAACTTGTGGACCTGGCTGCTGTTGTTGTGGAGGAACAGGTGGCATGATAAAAGGAATAACTCCAGGAAGAGCATTAGGTAAGAAACCAGGCACTGATTTTTTTTTAATGAAAAGAAAGAAGAAAAAGGAATTGGTTAATGTAGATGTTTTGCTACATAATACTGGCTTTGTAGCCTTTACATTTATCTTGCAACTTAAAAAGTTGAAATGTTTGAACTGGCTCATTTAAAATTGAGGACAAATATAATTAATTTCTAAAAATAATAAAAAGATGAAAACAATTTTCCATCCTAATAAATTTAAGAGGAAAATAAATAAAAAGTTACAGAGACTTCATTTGAAATCAACCTTACATTTAACACTATAGAACAAGCAATTATCTAAATTATAAACTATACATTTCCAAATAAAAACTCATATTTACTTAAATTGAGAAGGAGTTTTTTCCATAAAAATTTACATTAAATTCAAAACCTATATGTAAGAAGGATAAAAAAATTGTTTGTAGTGATGCAAGTAAGCCATGCACGCAGTTTTAAGACCCCTTCATAAATAAAGTGAAATAACATTTGATAACAAAAATGGAAATCGCTCTAGCTAGTAATACCAGAGATCATGATATTCTGAAACGAAACATTTTAGGGTTAATTTAAAGTATTCTATAATTCGTACATTTCAGTATATTTTATAATTTAGATGAATCTGAAAATTAACTAACTCTCCTACTTTTAACTTCAAAAAAGTTTCAAAAACTCTTAACTTGCATACTGAAAATTATGGCAATTTACATTCATATACATGTTTGCTATACTCTAAATGTAACTATAATAAATTGTAACCCGACATAAGGGTATATATTACAAAGGTATAAATGCAGAAGTATAAAACTGGATATAAATTCTAAATATACAATTGTCAACCAACTGAATTTAATTATACATTGATATCACAATAATTCAAGTTTCTAGTTATAAATTATTCCAAATCAAATTTATTGCTGTTAAAAAAGAAAAATGTCACAAGAAGTCATATTCCTTATCATTTTTGCACCAAAGTAAATGGATAAATTCAAAATATTCAACAATCTTATATTTTGAAATTTGTCAAAATGCTTACTTATTTTTAACCAATCAATTTCATTTTTATTATTTTCAATTGACTTTGTTTATTGACAGCTTTTCTTTATATTCTGACAGAATAAAAATAATGCTTTACTTAGCAAAATAACATGCATCTTAAGTTTTAATTATTGTCTTTTATAAGACTAAATAATTGGTATTAAAATCAGTAAAGCATACACTTATTTATTTTCTATTGCAGTGTAATTACATTTATTTAAATAAATAATAAAAAAAACTTTTTAACATTTTTTAAATTTACTAAGTAAGACAGGAAAATAAGGTGATAATTTAACACTTACAAAAAGGCATCCAGGGAAAAGGTGGCATATACAAGGGAGGGGCATTTGTAGGTTGAGTACCAGCAAACGTGGAAGGTGCAGAAGAGGTTGATGGCCCAGGCTGACCCCCAGCAGGAGCTAACAATAAAGAAATCTATTAATTTATACTGAATATGAATTATTTAAAAACAATTTCAGGAAACTGATATTTGAAAGACGGATATTTTCGCGGATTTAAATTTTAAACTCTCAAATAATACTCCACAATGTTTCATAGTTTTAAAATGTAAAAACTTACATAAATTAAAGTCTAAATATATTACCGGGCAAATAAGAGCTAATAAAAATACACAAAACGACACAAAGAAAAATTTAGCTTTACATATTTCAGAAGCTAAATATAAAGTCTACATTGAATGAGACTTCTTTTACGTTATCAAATAACAGTCAGATATAAAACGTAGGATTGATAATAAGTTTTAATAATGTTAGTTTAAATTTTTAACAGTTCTTAATTGACTTGATAAAAAAAAATAAACTCAGAATGAAATCATACTAACTTAGAGTTATATCTAGTTGATAAGATGCTTACATATTTTTAACCAATCAATTTCATTTTTATTATTTTTAATTGACTGTTTATTGACAGCTTTTTTTAATATATTCTGACAGAATAAAAATAATGCTTTACTTTGCAAAATAACATGCATCTTAAGTTTTAATTATTGTCTTTTATAAGACTAAATAATTGGTATTACAATTATTAAAACATACACTTGTTTATTGCAATGTAATTACATTTAATTAAATAAATAATAAAAAAAACTTTTTAACATCAGCTTTTTTTTAATATATTCTGACAGAATAAAAATAATGCTTTACTTAGCAAAATAACATGCATCTTAAGTTTTAATTATTGTCTTTTATAAGACTAAATAATTGGTATTACAATCATTAAAACATACACTTGTTTATTGCAATGTAATTACATTTATTTAAATAAATAATAAAAAAAAACTTTTTAACATCAGCTTTTTTTAATATATTCTGACAGAATAAAAATAATGCTTTACTTAGCAAAATATTATGCATCTTAAGTTAATTTAATAAAAAAACTTTTTAAATGCCCTATGTGCCAAAAAATTGCACATTAGTACGTAAATCAAACTTCATTTTAACTTATTTAACAAAATGCAAATGAAATATTTATAATTACTTATCATAACTTTCATAACATTTAAAATATAAATATTAACTACATAATGATTAAAAAATAACTAACTTAAAAAACATTAATTATTTTCCAAACACTTTTTAACACTTGAACAAAATAAAAAAAAATAAATGGTGTAATACTTATGCACATTAAAAGCTTTTCTAAATTTCAACAGAGTTTGAACTCAAAATGAAATTATATTCCTGACTTTTACAGGTAGATTCATGTAAAATTAAAAAAAAATATATAAAAAATTAACAAAATTTTTATTTAATAAAATTGCAAATTAGAATTATAAATAAAATTGCAAATCTAAAAAAGACTAAACTAACAGTGGCGCAACAGCCCATAGAGGGCCAGGGCCTGCTGTGCCCATCTCAGTTTTCTTAACCTTGGGCGCTGGGGTGCAGGAGCAGATGTTCTGGTTAGATGGTCAGCCGAACGCGGAACACCCAGTGTGTAGTTCCCAAGCATGTTTGGTACTCATTTATCAACCCACTGAAGGTATGGAAGGCTGAATCAACCTTGCCCGGCCCGAGGATCGAACCCAGGGCCTGTGGCATGAGAGCGCGAAGTGCTACCACTCAGCCACCGGGCGTCCTAAGAAAGACTTGATAAAATATTTTCATTTAAAAATTCACGTAATTTAAATTATGCCAACTTTAATACGGACTTGAAGCATTAGAGCCAAAATCATAAACACAACTGAAAGGGAAAATAAGACTGTGGGGAATTAACTGGGGAAATTTACTATTATAAAAAATAAAAAAAATTATAATAATTATAAGCAGGAAGTTGTAGCCAAAAAAAAAAAAAAATTAAAATGTATAAATAATCTGTGTATAATTGAAGCTAAATCATATTTAATCAACATAAGTTTTTAGAAAACAAAGACCATAAACAATTAAATCCCAATATATTAGCGTGAATTAAAAATTCATTATATGAAAGATAAGCATCAAAAAGATTGCATAACTCAATTAAGCAATACTAGTTTTTAAAAAATATATATTTTTAACACAAATACCAAATCATCATAAAACGAAAATAACAAATATAATAAAAAGTTAATATTTAATTAATGTTATTCCATATTTATTAATTTAAATCAAATAGACCAAATAACTAAAAAAATAATGTTTCTTATCAACAGACAAGCAAAAAAATAAATAAAGGATGAAAATTTAACATTTTAGGGGAAAAAAAAACAACCTTTATTCCTTAGCTTAAAATAAATGTAAAAATTATCGTAAAATATTAGAAACGCAAATTTGTATACTTTTTTTTTAATTTAAGATTTTTTAACAGATTAAGATTAAGATTTTTTAACAAATAGGTTAATGAATACATTTTTGAATACCAATTATTAACTAGGTCTTTGTGGTATAGTGCAGTGGTAATTTCGTGTAGTTGGATCAACTGGAAATTGCAGGTGGCAAGCATAAAATGAGCAGTCGTATATTGATATACGTAAGATACATCGTTCATACGTAAGATACATCGTACATACGTAAGATACATTTGACATCTTAAAAAAATATTTATCACACAAAATTTCATTTTTCTGAATTTAGAAAATTGTACTACTAACGAAAATTGTATCTTAAATTATGCAGAATTGCCTTTCCTTGTTCGAATTGAATAAATAAAAACAGTTAGTACGGAACAACAGTACGAAATTATGCACAAATCTGAAACGTGAATACTGACACTATTGAAGAGCTTAGTGGAAGAACCAGGTAAGTGAAATTCTTAGGGTGATCTAAATAACAGATTTAGTGATTCTAAATATCAAGGTGGTTGTCTCAATATGGGTAAGTTAAATGTAGCAGAATGTTTTTGCTTACACTTTAATCTAAATATATTTCATTTTTTTTTATAACCGTCGTTGAACAGGCGTCGCACTTTTGGGTATACGCCCACTAATTTTCAACTCCGTAACTTAGCAATTTAGAGCCCAACACAAAACAAAAGAGCTCCTGGATCAAACTAGCTATCTTGGAAAACTTTTTGATCAAATTTACGCTCATTAGCTTTATATGGAGTAGAAAACCACGAGAACCTCTCTAGGTTAGTCTGATGGCAAGAACCCATGACCCTATATATATATATATATATATATATATATTCGCGTAAATGAAATCATAGAGGGCAATTTTAATTTGTTCGAACAGTTATTACTGCTATTTGCACTTCTTCGCCATTCCTTAAACTTCTTTTACGTTGAATAATTCCTATTGAACCATTCTTTTTCTTCTTCTTCTTTTTCTCGAAATTTTAATTTTGGACGCGAGTACTAACACTTGACTTCATGTCAAAAGCAACAAGAACTGAAACATTTTAATAAAACACTGATTTGATGCTGTTAAAAGTTAATATCTTTATCGAAACTTTTAAAAATACGATATAAACGGTTTAAAAGAAATTTAAACATTTTTTAATTTTAACAGTTATATGATAGAAAGTTATATTTATAAATTTTTAACAAATAAAATTAAATCTTAACAAAATGTGCTGAAAAGAGTAACGAGAATTTTAAAAACAAAATCTTTTTTTTAATCGATTTTTAGGAAGAAACAAAACTAAAATGATTCAGATAGATGTATAGGACTTGTTAAACGAAGTGATAGTGTAATGAACCATCAAGTAATTAACAAAAAATTGCTGTTTTATGCTCTACACCCGTTTTCTTTTCTGATACAAGACCAAGCTGTCTTGTTCTTCAATTCCCCATGAAAATAATAGAGGTACTTTTCATGTTTCAGGATTTTTTTTCTCCAAATTTTGAATTATGAAAAAATCTCTCCATCTTGATTATTAAAAATACTATATTGACAACACGTGGTGGTATAATCTTTAGGGGTTGCTAAAGAGATGTTTCATTCGCCAAATGCTTGGCGATGGACATTTGTTAAAATTCAAGAGTCCCCACTTCAAAGATCTATTCATAACAATACATTTTCCCCTTTGACACATTGATGGATCATATCTATTGTTATGACCCTCTACCCC